GAAACCATATCAAATGCTTCTTTTGATGCTTTTCATCTGCTTAACCAGTGTTTTTGCTCACTGAGGTTACGAGTTGATTTTTGTACTTTTGTGTTTTCTGCTATTGTCTCTTCATGGTGATTTCGCTATCCCGCAAGACTTAGTTTGGATGGCCAAATCTTTTACCTAAGTACTTTTCCACCTATGATTTATAGGAACTAAGCCTGACAATGTAGATATTGTTATTTTTCCATTTAGAATATTGATGTGGGGAGCGTAGTACATTGGTTTGCTGCCTATAACACCTTACTCTAGACCAAGGGGTTCTTGTTTCTGATGTCCTTGTGCTATAATCCATGATGTTACTAATGTTTAGGATTGAATGTCTCAGATTTGTGTAATATAGTGTTTCGAGATCATTTTGCAGTGCTATAGATGCAAAATAGTTCCATCGCGCTGATATAGTATAATGTCTTTTTAGTACGTCATTTCGAATTGAGAATTGTAAACTAATCAGTCTAACTTTGCCGACCATAACTTGGAGCTGCAGGATTTCGAATAGACCGAACTTTTGAAGAGCAAAGTGTCCTGAAGTAAAAATGAGAAATGCACTTTGTAGTGGTGTCAGTAGCGCACTACCCAGGGCCGGGTGATGCACAGCCATCTGAACGGCAATTAGACCTTAATGACAGTCGAAAGGCTGCACAAACGACATACACCTGGCGCAAGTGAAAAGAGAATTAGCGTAGTTGAGGGCGCATTTTACACAAAACCTAGCCTAGCTCGGATGAGTTAATTGCGGTTAGCGGTAATCTCTCATAGAATATTTTGATTTTTTCCAAAGGTCTGTATCATTTAACATATCCATCTTTACACCTTCCTGAAACGACCATATTTCTTCCACATTTCACAATGGTAGCTGTTTCAGCGTCTCAGTGGCCCCTCTACAATCAGTTTCAATTCTTTTATCATGAAAGGCACTGATCAAGTTGGGACTATCCGTCTGTTTTGAAGTTCTTCTTTTTGTGAACTTTTGAAGCGATCTGCATCTTCTATGGTCTGAGCTTATGATTTCTTCATATGTTTCCACCCCGTTCCATAGAATTTGCTATCACAATTACTGAGCGAGTGCGCACCTGTCCTTAAGCTTCATCCGTGGGTGTTAGCTTTGTCAAGTCGATGTGCATGGATCTGTTGACGACAAGCTCGAAATCTTATAAGGTATACATTTCATACACCTCGAACCCCCCAGTCTCTCTCCTTACTGAAGAGTCCCGGAATGGGTCTAGAAATTCTCCATCCAAGGAAACGAAACGGAGAATTTATAAACTTGGTTTCTCTTTTTATTCCTAGCTGGAAGGAGGCACTTTTGGATCTCATGTAATCGTTTATTCGAAAACTATGTTTACTCTTTAAACATAATATTACCCACAGCTATAGTTGATCATTGACCTGAAATTGTGTTCAGTCTCTCTTTCCATCAACTTTTTTTTTACAGCCATTAACGGATCAGTTTATGCTACTGAAGCAGTTCGATAAGAATTAAGAGGCGTGTGTCCATAAGAAGTTTATCTATGTGCTTCAAAAAGATGACGTATGATGAGGCTAGTTTGGGCTGTTTTATCGGACGGAAAGGTCAGTAAATGAATCCGATTTTACTAAAACTTCTTGATGAGATGTCATTCATAGATGTCCATGTCGTCTCGCATACATGGCGTCCTACGATATCCTTTCAGGCGTCGCAGCTACGTTCTTTTTCCACTAGTTCTGTGTGTAAGAATTAGCTTTTACATTAGCCACAGAAATTTCCAGACGCAGGAAATAAGCAGAGCCAGTTCCGCGGTCGAGTACTTTTTTTCTTATTTTTTTTCTACGTATGAAAAAATTAGAACGAATGAAGGTGTGCTGGTTGTGTTGCAGTCGTAGCGGCGTGATCTTCATCTCTCTTGCTTCACAGCATAATTTCTTCTGCTTCTGACGGCGAATTTTCGAAATTGAGTCTTTTCAGTCATTTAGTATACTATCTGTCATTGGGTGGTTATTTTGCATTCTGCTTTGCTGAAAAGCTTGTTTCAGCGCAAGTCACTTTTCTTTTACTGTCCACGACAGTGGACTGGACAGGTTAGCGAGTCTAAAATAGTCTGCTTCTGACATCAGAACCACTTATCAAGGGACTGAGCACCGTTAGCTTCTACTTTGCTACAATGTAAACTATGTATTTTCTCTAAATTGACGTTAATCAAACGTATTAAGAGAACAAAGTTCCCAAGCGATTCCTACTGGTCGCTGTGCCTCTTCCCATGCACAACGCGAGCTGATCCCGTTCTACTCCGCTTGAATTTCTCACATTCCTGAACCTGTTTTCTTGCTGATCTTCAGTGAAGCATGCGCGAATCCTCCTCACCATCGCTTCTGCAGTAGTTCGTAAGACTTTCTTTGCATGAGTCGGTCAGCTTTGTACACTCTGCGAACTTCTCTATCTTACCTTACATGATGTCGATGCCATAGGAATGCAATCGCAAAAAAAGAAATCGCATTTGGGCGACTCCCATCTCCTGGAGCACGTAAACTTATGTCTTGCTACTCATACATCTTGGAAATCCTTGTTTTAAGTCTTTTTGCAAGTCTTTCCAAAAGAATTTGCATGCTCGAGCCGGCACGCGACGGTGATGTCAGATTGAGATGATTTGACATGATCTGAATCAAGCAATGTGACAGTCATTTCTTCTCGCAATCTTTTCGATTTCTTGCAATGCGTCGCTCGTAATCGTTTATCAGCACTGATTGCGATAGCAGTGACCTTGTTTGATTCAGCTGTATTTTTTCTTTCATGTAACTCGCCTGTAAAAGAAAAACTAACAGCAGATAAATGTGTTTCGCTTGAAGCCTTTGGTCTTTACATTAAGCACTTCAGCGTTTATGTAATGTTTATCCTCAAGTTCTTGTCAATTAGTTTTTTTTTTTCACTGAATTCTATTTCTTTATCGCCAAATTTTGGTGAATCATGGTGCTTTTTCATGTTGCAAATTGGAAACTTTTACCAAAAGGTTTTCCATGGCAAACTACATAACAGGCGGCTATCTTCTCACGTAATCGAGATATTTTGCGAGGCCGACGTCATTAAACGGGTGTAACTTTCACTTATGCGCCGCGAGATCATGTGCTATTCTAGACGGCCAAGAATAGGTTTATGTGCTAGGATTCTTGCACGCGGATGCCCTTCAAGATTAGTCATGGGATGGAGAAAAAATCTGCATGTGGGCATGTGCAGACAATCCAGTCCAGTACGGTAAAAGTTGGTCACGTCAGCTGAAGTAACATGCCCATATCAACTTTTTGACGACTCGCTCTGTTGACACAGTGATCCCTCGCACTCCATCTCTCAAATGCCATTGCGCTTACTCATCTCAGCTGCACTCACTTCTCTGTACAAATAATTACCACTGTTGCAGATCAAAAGTTGAATGTATTTAGCCTGAATACAGTTCGGAGAACTTATTATCTTCCGAGAAGCCGCCTTCCACGAGCAGCACACGAGAAATCCCTGTGCTTCGATCGTTTTCGACAGCACCGTCAGCTATATTAGAGTACAAAATGCCAATGCTTAGCGGGCATCATCGAGGAGACTTGCAGGTAGTCCTTTATTCATATTCAATAATATAACCTTGTGTGATCTATCAATTATCAGGATGAATATTACCGTCGTGAAGTAATGACAAGAACTGTTATCACCAGAAGTACAGAAGCTCTTTCACAACAAGTATGTAGAAACTCGGGTTTCGAAATCCTCTCCCTTTTTCTCCAAATGTCACATTTAGCCACCGCTTGGACGATCTTCTCCCATTGAGAGTCAGATGTATGTGAGATATCCAGACCCAAACACTCGAGAAGAAAAGACGGTTGATTACAAAATTACGTATCACCATGACATTGAAGAAGAAGAGCGGCGAATTCGTGACCAGCAAGACAGGCGCAGAAAGGAAGAGGAGGAAAGACGAAGGAGAGAAGAGGAGAGCAGACGAGCATGGGAACAGCGCGAACGAGAGGTGTGATTCGCATTGAGTTTATGTTTTTACTTGACTGGTAAAGTAATCGCTAATTTTCAGCTCCTTGAACGTCTAAGGACAGACAGAGAGCGTAAACAGAAAGATCTTGAGTATACCATCCAGGAAAGAGAGAAAATGGAAAAGGAACGCATTGAAAAGGCTCGCTTGGAGCGAGAAAGGACAGAAATGCAGAGGCGTGCTGAATGGGAAAGAATGGAGAATGAACGTAGATCATTAGAAGAAGAGGACCTAGCAAGAAGGCGTCAATTAGAAAAGGAGCGTTTGGAACGGGAAAGAGCTGAAGAAGAGCAACGAGAACGATTGCGACTGGAGAGGGAACGGGAGCATCTGGAGCGATTGCGGCTTGAAGAGGAACGGAGAGAGCAGGAGCGACTTGAAAAGGAAAGAATAGAACGTGAACGAATCGAAAGAGAAAGAATAGAAATTGAGCGAATTGAGCGAATAAAAAGGGAGCGTATCGAGAGAGAACGCAGGGAAAGAGAAAAGGAAAGAGAAGAGCTTGAGAAACTGCAAAGAGAACGGGAGGAGCTTGAACGTCTGGAGAAAGAGCGACGGGATCTGGAAATTAAAGAGCGCGAGATGATTGAGTTGCAAAGAATGGAAGCGGCAGAGCGTGAAAAACAGCGACTGGAAGACGAAGCGAGAGAAGCACGACGAAGAGAGGAGGAACGACGTGAAGCCGATCTGCTGGCTGACATTCAGCGACAGGCAGAGGAGCGCGAAAGGCTCCGTCGTGCTCAGGAAAGGGAGGAGAAGGAGCGTCTTGAGCGTATCCGCAGAGAACAGCAAAGAGTGGAAATGGAGAGAAGTGAGGCTGAGCGGAGGGAGAGAGAACGCCTTGAAGACGAAAGGAGGGAAAAGGAGCTGTTGGAGGCTCAGCTGAGGAAGAAGGAACAACGTGAGCGTGAACGCTTGGAAGATTTAGAGCGAGAAAATATGCTGCAGGAGGAGGAAATGCGCGAAAGGGCTCGACGAGAAATTGAGCGACGAGCAGCCGCTGAAAGAGAAAGGCTAAGAAGAGAGGAGGAAGAGAAAGAAAGACTCGGTATGTTCGAGCTGGAACGCGCTGCTGCGAACCGGAAACTGCAACGGCAAGCTGACCTGGAGAGGGAAAGGCAAAGAGAAGAGCTGGATAAGAAAGCTTCAGAGATAGCAGAAATGGAAAGGAGGGCGAGCGAGCGACGTGAAATGGAGAGGTGAACAATGCTGGTACTGTCTGCTTCACCAGCACTTTAGATCCTTTTACAGGTTGGAAGAAGAGCGCAGCCTTGCCGAACTTAGAGAAAAGGAGCGCAGGAATCATGAAATCAGAGATAGGGAAAGGAAGGAGGCCGAAGAGAGAGCTGCTGCTCGCCAAAGGGTACGATGTGAATGCTGACTTGATTAAGTGTTATTGTCACATTGTTTCTGCTTTTTTTTGAACATCTCATGGTTGTTGAATTCCGCTTATTTAGGAGGACAGACGTTCGCGAGACAAGCTTGATCTGATCGCTCGCGAACGATCGGCAAAGGAAAGGTCAGATTGCAGTCCAAAATATTTCAAAAAAAGTTTATCTGAACTGGTTCACCTTGTATCCATTCCTTTCCAGGTTTGAGCAAGAAAAGCGAAGACTTTTAGCTGAAAAAGAAGCCCTCAGTAATAAGTATCACCATCTAACCTCCAGTGAGACCCTGCAAAAGTTGGCAAAGCCTTTGTATATATCGCGAGAAACACTCTCTAATCCGGAGTTCACAACAAAAATTGAACGGCAGGTATGTTCTGGCTCCTTAGCTGTCTTCAGCAAAGTTCTGATTTCATAGCTAATTGAACGTTTGGACCGTAATGTATGGATCGACGATTTGCGCAATCCGTCACAGCAGACAGTTTCATCATTGAATTCAACAAACGATGAAAATGTTCGGGATAGATTGTACAACCCCAATGACTTGACCAGAAATGGCTCCGCAAGGTTTGTTATATTAGCTATCGGAATATTAAGCACAATAGCATGCACAGTATTTGGTTGGTGATAAACCTTTTTCAAGGTGATTGTTGAAATTCCCTTTCTGTGGTCAACCAGGAATGGTCAGAGCTTAATCCAGCCTTGTCAGACTAGCTGTATATCATCGTATTCACCTTAAAACGCTGATTTCAACTATATGTGTATTTTCTGCCAAGCGACTATGTGAAAGAGTTATGAGCAGGGTCAAGCAAGAGGTGTGGCACACAATCGCTGGTTACGACCCCCCCCCCCCTCTTATTGCTGTCTCAATAAGACCCCCTGAACTGTATACCTAAGATAGCATTACTTGAAGGCCCTGTCAAACATAACGGGCAACATATCCATAATTAGCATGTCATTCAACCCCTTCCCTTCTGTAGTCTGAACAATTGAAAGCGAAAAATGGGACAAACGAGATTTTGGCTTGCTCTTAATTCCTTAGTTTGGAGGTCATTTGAAGTAGGATTCCTAATGTGAGCAAAGAAATAGTAGTTCTCTGTATTAAGCGCAAAAAGAAGTAGTTAACTTGCCTTTGTAACAAAGTAACATGTTTGAACGACCATCTCACTGGGGTGGTCTTGTATTTGGAAACCTCAGAATTCGCTGAAACTTGAACCACAGGGGTTATTTTGCTAATCATAAAACGATGCTCTTATGCTTTATAGATCTTTACTGATGCTTACTGTACGTATACGATAATGGGTCAAACATCAATGTGCAAGTATTTTGCATGACGGATCTACTTGACATTGTTAACGAATATCATGTTATGCGAACAGCGGACGCTTTGATAACGACCCCTCCCCTCCTTGATTCCTCAATACAACCCCTCCAGGTGTGGCATGCCACACCCACGCTTGGCCCTGGTTATGAGCGTTTGAATACGTGAAATCATACCGGTTCGCGAATGTAGTTCGTTGTAAGGCAGCCTAAGGACGCTTAAGTGCAATGATTTCGAGTATCATAATCATTAGGAAGAAGCGCATTTAATAAAATCTAAATAAGTGCTTTTGAAACATTTTTCGACACTCTTAACTTCTTGCAGATAATCGTTTGACAGATAATAAACATATTATTGAGATCAGCATTGCAAGTCGAGTTTGATGATATATAGCTTGTTTGGAATGGCTGGTTTACGACCTGACCATTCCCTTGTCAGCCTCATTGTCGACCTGGAATTTGATATTGCTTGTTCACAAAAGACCCGCATCTTCTCACTTTTCCAGAACCAGCCGTTATCGAGCGAAAATGGAAAAGGCTCGCCGGGAATTTATCGTGGGCGGACCTGAGATAACAGGTTTAGTTTTTTGTTTCCTTGAAAATAAACGATTTCAGGTCAGGGGCAAAGCCCACAAACCGTGTTTCTTTTTGAAAACTGGCGTTGTCTATCTTACTCTGCTCTCAGCCAAGCTTGTATGCGAAAGTACTTTCGCAATACTTTTTTTTCATTCTGGTTACTCAACATAATTCAGGTATCCATGCGTGAAACCGCTATTTCTCGACGTTTCCTGTCGACTTGAGGTGTTTTTAGTTTCCCTCAGCTTGAAGGCCTTGTCTTAGCTTTCCCACTAGCTACCTATCATTCTAATGAATCATTTGCTTGGATCAAAAGTATATTGTTCGATTTTCATGTTGACTCAAACAACTGCGTGCACACGTTCATCTTCTGAAGACTTATCTCGTAGTTCTAGCATATTCAGTTATACATAAATTTCATTGACAGTATCGATGGTATAGTCAAAAAGCGAAACTGGTTACAATTAATAGTCTTGTTTTAGACTCAGACTCGGTTACCGAGCGTTTTCGACGATCGCAAGAAGACATGGCCTCACGAGTCCGTCGCGACTATCGTGGACCACTGTTGCAGAAATTCCACGATAGCGAATTCAAGTCAAAGACCGACATAGACGGTTTCCCGTACCCGAGGGTTGAGCCGAGCCCCTACGCGCAAGTGAGCTTGTTTTTTGACAACAATCAGCAATACTACCCTTTGTTGACCTTACCCTGAGTGTACGATCGAAATGTGCAATCTTGCATCGCTTCTTTGCTAGCTAACACGTTTGCTTTCTGCTAGGAATTCGAGCGTCTCCTGGAGGAAGCAGAACGGAAATACACTGCTTACCGTATGAGGATGTCCCAGCCCAATCTCTATAGTAGGTCTCGATGTTGGAGCACGAATTATCTTGAAACTGACGTCGATACTGGCAAACCCGAATTGGCGTATGCTACCAGAGAGGTAGGATTGGAAGCGAACTGCTGCGAAATCTCCGTTCTTGTCATTCACCTCTTGAACTCAAACCTCAACCTCATAGTCACACTGTTTTTTGCCTTATTTCATCCCTTCATGTTGTCCAACCCAATCCACGTTCGCATCTTCTGATGACGAGGATCTTTTTAGGTAGAAGAAACCAACCTGGATGACGTCCACCATCGATCCGGTTCAGTTGTAGATTACCATCGTCAGAGCCGGCGTGACAAAACGGAGGAGACCACCGACACGACTCATATAAGGAGTCGTAGTGCTGATTATCTCATGGATAGGAGGTGATTCGAGTTTTTACTTACGACAATTGCGTCAAATGAAATCGTGTTGCTGAGGCAGTGCCCAAGTAGACCAATAAAGATACTTGGAATGTGAATATTGATGGTGTTCTCAGCTGCTACAGCCTTTACCCAAGCGCCAGCTTATGTCATCCAAATGTGGCCGAGATTGGCAACTCCAAACGCGAGAGAAAAAAATTTTTCTGAGCAGATCAATCAGTCGGCGTGCTCAAGTACGGTATGATTTTTGCTGGAGTTGACAGTTGCATTCCTCGGCCACGATAAATCATATGATCTCCCTGTCGAGAAGTCTTAGCGCAAGCGAAGATTCCTATCATCCCTGTCTTTTGTAAGGAACCAAGAAACATCTGCATCAGCTTGCATTACTTTTGGCCGCATCCTGCAAAATAGTTGTGAGACTTTGGAGTTGTAGAGTCCTCTACTGGGTCACTTCTCGAGTGCGGGCCATGACGCCGGAAGGGATGAATTGCGATAGGCGCAGGCCATACTTATTCACTTCATCAACTTTGTGTCACAGAATATAGCACCGAGTCACTGATAGCTTCGTGCCCGTGGTTTGAACGCGAAAGTAAAGAGTTTGTGCAAGGTGCCGTTACGTGTCGTGCAGGACCATCGACGGCTCCCCTCGAGCGTGTAGCATATTCTGCACAACACCCGGAGGACATTTAGCGTCATGCTTGCCCCTGACAATGACGTGAGGGTCTACTTTGACATAAACCAAAATCCCATCATCCCTATTTTGTTTGGACAAAGCCTTTTGTTTGTAAGGCAAATACAAGAAAGTGCTGAAGTTTTACCCCGTATCTGCATGATATTTATTGTAGAACGCGAGAAGAGAGTGCTCCTCCCGAGAACGAATTGCAGAAAACGATAGGCGACTTATCCTCAAGGACATCACATATCGGCGATCACGGCATGCGTTTCCGGAAATCCACAGAGAAGTTGACGGTGCCAACGTGGTACCTAGAAAACACTGTAAGCCTTTTTGTTGGGTGCGTTTGCCATGTCGAAAACAGAATTTCAGCGCGGCTTTACCAAATCGGGCGATATGTCGCAAGGAACGGCGACGGGTAACTTGAGCAATAATCAAAACTTGACTGGTGCATCGACAGGAATCGATCTCCCGAAAGGATTGTTTAGTCGTTACAAGGACGAAATTGAGGATTTGCGGCGATCAAGATCTTCCCTGCATCAACTGAAGGAGCAACGTCAGGTAGTAGCGCTCTGAATTTTTCTATTCGAATGCCCATATATGGCTCATCCATCTGTTTACTAATAATTCGTTCTCTAAAACTTGCATGTCTCCGAAAGAACGTTTGTGATGGGAGCCGATTACATGGGTAACTTTATGAACTGGGATACGTTCTGTTGTTTCTATTTTATCTATCTATCTTTTTTTTCTCAATTCGTCGGCCACCATTGTCTGCTATGAGCCCCTCTGTGTTGTCCTTCGTGCGCAACTGCCGAGATTAGCTTATCTCAAATGCTCCTTGCATGAAATCCTTGCGTTTGATTGTCAAAGCAACAACCACTCCTATTGACAGTGCATTTACATATGATGTCACTTCCAACCACTTTGTTGTGATGTAGCTCGCGTGTGACGTGCTTACCTTATCATTTTATATGTGTGCTTTCCATTTCATTTCCGCCCATCAAATGCATTTTCACTATCCCTTTACACCTTGAAAGATTTCTACATTATCTGACTTCTTGGTATCGTCTACGATCTAAGAATAAATTTTTTCCCATTGTGTTGCTACTGCTATTTTTTGCTTTGCATGAGCATTTTCCGGACACGGTGTCCCAAAAATGTGTACACACTTTTGTTACTGTTTACTCCGTATCCGTGTCGGTCCGAGTTCTGGGTAAATTTTTGTAATTTCCATCACGGATGAGTTGATGCTTAAAAACATGATTGAGGTGGCTACATAAGTCCTTTGCCGGTTGAGGGAGGTTGGTGTAAGCAAAGCGGATGCGAACACAGTCTATCGTCAACAGAGAGCGCGTGCAGAGTGAGGTGATAGCCGATTACGCGTTGCGTTCGCGCTCGTTCAGCTTATCTGGACAACCGCCTCGATCCGGCAATGGGCTTGAAATCTCCACACTCATATGTATAATGCATTTACGGATAACGACGAAGGGATAATTTTCCTTTGTTAGTTGGGAACAGCATAATGCCCGGCAAAGCTTCTCATTACTCTAAAGTGTGCATACATGTTTAGGACATCCTTTTCGTTTTTTTTTTTTTTGTTTTGGGCTGGGTTATTTTTGAAATGGCTTAGGTTTGCAAGACATCAGGATGTTTTGTTATCTAGTCAAAACAAAGTTCGTTCTTCTGACTACAAAATCAACCATTATAGAATTGTTTCGAGAAATCTTGGTATTGCTGCATTCATGTGATGCCATTTCTTACGCCCAATTACATCAATATCGCAAATTTTTTACGAAATCAGTACTAGCTTCCAGGTTCCATTTTCAGTATGGCAAAAAAGGCAAAAAAATCTCACAAAAATACCGCATTCGGTTATCATAGTTTCTGTGGATTCACTTAGCTGCAGTAGTCGATCAGTAGTCGTTTGGTTCTCATTTCGCACAGCCTATCTTTGGTTATATCAAAGTTTGAAGCGTTTAGTCTAGAACATTAAATTAGCAAATGATTTTATTAGAATCTGCATGCACCGGCCTGGTAGGCAACGTTCCCTCTGTTTAAATGGCTAACAAATGCAACATCCCTAAACACAACATCCCCTGTAAAGCATTCACGTCCTACATTCTACACAGCAATCTACATTTCTCGAGTAGTCACTAGATTGATACGATGGTCCAATGGATTATATAGATCGATACATTGTGTCCCGTGGAATCCATAAAAAAAAATTTCGAGTAACCGCGATGAAAGGATAGGCTCGTGCTCTGGTACCTTCTCAATGACGAACAACAAAACGTTGGATTAAATCGAGATATTGTGCTCGGAGAGCATCTTCATCAAGTGTACTGCTTTTCTGTTGCTTCTCTAGTAATTAGCTTCGCACTTGAACTGATAGGAACCTTACTAACAGGGTTTTGTTACAAGAAAGTTCTATTTCCCTGACTTTGAAAGGGGAAGTTACTACACAATGTGGTACTTACATACCTTGTTGAAGACAGTTTTCGTGTAGGGTAGGGGGTCCTGTGTCTGCGGTGTTATGTGAAAGTGAATGCATTCAACCACGTCGTCGAGCAAGTATGAAAACAATGTTTACTACGACTACGGAAAGTTGAGATGCTTAGGCCTTAGTGAATATTCTTGCTCCTTAGTTCTTGCTCAAACGTATAGGTGAGATCACAAAGGGTGTCTCACAAAAAATGTGCCTACTGTTTGATCGTTAGTAACTCTCTTGTCATAGTTTTTTGAGCAGCTTCAGGTATCGCTTTCTAGTGCTGGCATTTTAGATTTACAGTAGGGAGGGAATTACCAATCACTCCCAAAGAAGCGGAGAACTCCTACACTAGCTCAATTAGAGTCTTATGTTGGGAGTGCCTACCGTAATCCTGCAGCAGTGAAGAAGAATCGGTAATTTACTCCCTACTGTAAATCTAAGTTGAAGCCAGCTATACAGAATGGTACCTAAACCTTCTCGAAAGGTTCCATGAAAAGAGAGTTATCAACAACCAAGTAGGCACATATTTGGGACACCCTATATGATATCATAACTCTGCCTCCATCCTTGGCGGAATGTTCCATTCGTCCAAATTTAGTGTAATGTGCACAGCGGCTTTTGCCGTTCTTGTGCTTTTCAAAACGATCGCTGAATTCTTCGCCACGGATATCCCAGGCGGGCAAAGACGCCTGAATTCAAGTTTATGTCTGAGTTTGCTTCAAGAGAATTGTGCGCTCTATCGCTGGCACTGCAAAAAAAGGTGTAGAGTGGGGTTTTGCACCAATGGCTGTCGTCCACCATAAATTCAACGCGATTTGAATAAGTAACTTTGCTGAGGCATTTTTTTTCCAAAATATGTTTGTTAGGGAGTATGATAGATTCACAAGCAAGGTGGCTACGATCCAGCTACAATGCTAAGGTCCAATCTTGTAACCAAGACAGCAAGAGCAAGTGGATTGTGTCTCTCTGCAGTGCTTGTCCACTTAAGTAATGAAATCGGACCAGCCTAATTTAAAGCGAGTGGGCCAAATCAAACCATAGATCAAGGGAAAGTGAGCATATAAAATTCGTGTCAGCATGTCTGAACATTGTACTTGAGGTGAGGGATGGCTGTAATTTCTCTGGTTTATCGTTGTCGGTAAGAATTTCCTCCTAATAGACGTGTTAGTTCCCTCATCATACTGCTGATGTTGTCCAGGCCGAAGGAATTGTCCATCCACATCCTACATCATATCGCACTTCGGAAAAGAAATATTGTACAAGTTTAGGTAAAGCATTCATTCGAAAGCGATTTAAAATCTATTCATAGTAAGCGAAATTAGATTTTGTCTAGTGGAGGCGGAGATGTGCATACGCAGCTTGAAACAGCTTTAATTTCGATTCTTTATATTTCAAATACAGGTGACTTCTCCCGCGCAATCGGATGAATTCAATCAGCATGCCCTACCTGGTTACACGGTATCAGATGTGCCAAAAGATTGGATTGTTGGTGAAACATCAAAAATGGGGTATTTGTCATTGGGAAATATGGTAGACTTTTTGGGAACTTGATATCATTTCAGTCATGTCAAAACGAACTCTCGCGTAGTGGAGGTTGCAGACACTTTCCCTGGATTCAGCCAGAGCGAGACCAATCTAGCACAGAGTGGGTGTTTTCTTCTTTGTTTTTGACTTTTCTTGAGGTTCATGGAAATTCTAACAAAAGCTAATACATACAGTCGAAAAACACTTGCACTGTGTGCGAAGAACAAATAAATTCACATTCAATCGTTGCTCGTAACACATGGCAAAATGTGTCGCTGCGGGGTATGCAAACAGCATGTGACTTCAGCGTGCTGTACGATTGCCTAAGACCAAGGTTAGGGTTTTCAGAGACCAAACCTCAGAAAGGTGAATCTGGGGACCTTTCTTACCACTTAATGTTCAGAACTCATGTTGCTGACATGCTTTGCAATAACAAGTATATCGTTACGTCTCTCATGGTCGGATTGAACGCCATTGCATTGGGACAAAACAAGTTTCATGAAAATATGAAGTCATGTACAGCTTTTTCATCATACTTAGAGGAAATAATTTGAGTCACATAAGAAAAGGTTAGTCATGGAAGTCGGAGAAACAAAATTTGATGATCTAAAATAAAGAAGATCCGTTTCGTTTCTACCTCTAGCCAAAGAGTGTTTGCATCACCCTCCACAAAATTCCTTTTTGAGCTTGGAGGGCAAATGACTTGCGAGAAAAGAAATGAGTTATCTATTTTTTATTTAACCATGTAGTCGAGGGGGCCAAGAAGTTGGAAGTTAAGAAGATGTGGCGTGTGTAATATAAAAGTTGTCTGTAGTTCCACTTCAATTTTAGATCTTCCAGCCACTGCGACCCAGCAGGATGGAGGAAGAATCACCATCGAAGAAGTGCTTGATTCTATCTTCCAGCAGACTTCCACCTCAACGACAGGATATCAAGACACAAGGTTCAACCCATTTGATTTCCTACGCACACCTTCACATAACAGTGAAAGGTTTCTAGCGTAACGGAGCCTGACTTCCCTCGCAAAAATGATTCTGGCCCTGGAATTTACACGGGAAACTACATGCTTATGGAACAAGTGATCAAGCAACCTAGTAAAGCAGAATCGTTACTCAAGGTAATACCATTTTGAACAATTTCTAAAATGCTGATGCTTCGTCCAGAGTTTCTCGTGCCAGCGCCGTGCCGATGTCGTGCTGACATCGTGGCAGAACTCGATTGATCAAGTCGCACGTGCACATGAGACCAGCTAATGCGCTAGCACGCTTCCAAGGCGCTGCTGCAACGGCACGGTACCTGGCACTACTTCGGCACGCTGCAGCTCTAGACGAAGCCTGACGGTTTCAAGACTGCATATTAATTTCTCTTGTTTCAGTCCGAACAGTTGTTTGTGAGATGCTCTTGTTGTCATAAGACGCGTGAACTTAGTTTGGCCCGTCTACAGTACGTCACATGCAAGCACTGTTATACGTACTACTGCTCAAAAGATTGCAGGTTTGCCGTTCGGACAGCAGTTTTGTGTATTTTTCCTTGATTACTTATCGAACTTGTTTCAAATCCACTTGGGTCTGCATATTCTATCAACATTTTCTGTTCTTTTCTGAGTGCGAGAAGTTTCTCACTCGAGTTATATTCTCGTACCTAAGGGATATGCCTGCCAGGCACATTCGTCCTAGCTATAATTACGAGCTCCTCAGGGACATTGCAAGCTCCGACCCCTTGTTAAGGGTGCTGGAACCGGGATTCCAAAGAAAGTTTCAGAATCAAAGTTTAATGGCGAAATTGCTCCGATCAAGACCAAACTTCGGATTGAGTGGTTTTTGAGGCTATAATGAATTGAGATCGGTGTACTCTGCTCGTTGTTGCCACGCGGGTCTTTAAATTAGTGGAGTTGTGCACGAGGAGATTACCTCAAATTTGGGTGATCAAACCTTTATTAACAGACAAAATATCAACATAAACACTGCATGTACACGCGATATTTAAGCGCAAGATACAGCAACGCTTGTGAGATTTTAATGATATAAAAGTCAATATAACCAAGGCAATGGTAGAATGATAGAATGCAGTACTAACTGTGCAAAACAAACGATAAACAGTGAAATACGATTCACTGTAAGGAGGAGCTCACCAACTGTGAGTTCCGCACCTTTTTCTTAAATGCAGTTCTAGTCCAAAACATGCAAAAGAAGACTAGCTGCTGCGCTAGAGCACTTACATTGCAAGAAATAGAGTACACGAATTATACAACATCGGTTGAGTTTCTCAACGAGCTGCTTTTCCCAGTAGTGAGATTTGTTTGTTGCAAAGTCAAGGTTTAACACTGGTAATGCCTAACCTTAAAATTCGGATTAAGTCGAAATTTTTTTTCAAATCAAGACCGAATCCAGGCGGATTTCAAAAAATTATGTATTAACTATTGAAAAAATTGAAAAAAATATCCGTAGAATAAATTTGAATTCGGTTGTTTTCGATGTGTTAAGGAATACTTGGCAGGGTCATTATCAGTGCTGTACCTGGACATATTCTTAGAACTGAATTTGGCAAATAAACCATTACAAAATCATACAGGTATTTCTGCACTTGGCATTTCATTTCTAAGGAAATAATTCGGTTTTTGTGAGACAAGCATTTTTTTCTTCTCCGCAAAATGTTCAAAGAGTCAAATCGCTATTGATATTATACAAAACATACTTCGTTATCGAAAAAGCGGTTTCGGAAACCTATACTTCGGTCTGCTATGAAAAGGAAATTTCGAAAACTCTAAATCCAAATTTTAATATTGGTTGGGCATTCAGTGCTGAACCTTGATTTTGCAACAAACAAATTCACCACTGAAAACAGCAACGTCGAAAACCCCTAAATTAGAAATTTGCTCTTGATTGGAGCATCGCTAATGAACTTAGATTTTGAAACTTTCTTTGAAAACCCGTTTTCAGCATCTGAAGCGACACTGGATAAGGGGGCGGAGCTTGCAATGTCTTATTGTTAGTATACTGTGGAGCTCGTAATCATAGCGAGTCCGAATGTGCTTTGCAGGCACATCACTTAGGTGCGAGAATATGGCTCGGATAAAAAACTTATGCCCCCATCTTTTCTGCTGTCTCCCTTACCCATGCAAAAGTGTTGGTTTGAAGATATTTGATTCACTTACGATAAACAAGAAATGGAAGAATCTCGAGTTTCAATATGATCACCTAATAGAGGTTTCACCGAATTTTCCTCGTAATGAATTCTGTTTTTTTTTTTCGAGATATAACTAAGGCGAGCAGTTATATTTCCTTTTGCGCTAAGGTGCAGACCACGTTTCGTGGCCAAGATCAAGTGGATCAAAAATTTTTGACCTTAGGGATAATACCAGATTCGACGTGTCAGACAAGAACCAACATTGATTCAAGTGTGTGGAAATCTATTCTACTCAACCTCTCGCGATCCCTTTTTGTGCTTAAGAGAACAAGAACAAGAAAAAATTTGATAGTTCAACTTTTCGAATTAACTGCATTTTGATATCATAATTTTTCATCATGGCACTTTTTGTAGAAAAAATACAAATGTAGACAAAATGTAAATAAGCGAATGCTCAGAAGCTGCCGCAGGGCGTTACGAGCGGGTGTATAATTTGTCAAAGAACAAAAACGATTTTCACGTCTATCGGCTTGATAGATCGAAAATTATATGCAGGTTGCCCTAAAAATATGTAAGTTGTTTTATCGTGCACAACTCTTGAAGCTCAACATAAGCTCGCGATATTTGAACACGACTTTGGGCTTGCTTCGTCTAATAAGATCTACAGGGTGTCCCAAAAGTCTTGTAGCTTGGTATTTTATCTGATAAAAACAATACGGAACAGCGTAGAGGTATAAAATTTGGAGCACGCGTTGCTCAACCAATAGCAAATGCGATACAATACTCGAATTTTGTGAAAGCAATTTTGCTAACGGAATTCTTTAAACTGTTGGCGATTGCCTCTGCACGTGGCATGCAGATAGAGTTAAACAACTTCGTCCCACCTCTTAAAGGCAGTGTCCGGGCAAAAAGTCGATTTTGAGATTTTGTGCTTACCCGGTCCTATTCGCTATGCTGAATCCGAAAATCCACATTAGAAAGCGCGAAAATGGCGAAAAAGAACTCTAATGCAGGAGGGAAATCGGAAGTGGGCGGGGTCTTCCCCACCGCGGATTCACGCTCCAAGCTTCCGGAGCGATCTTCTCGGTCCCGATTTCAAGTCATGCATTTGCACCTGGCCTGTGGAGATCTCAGGTCGGTAGCGGAATTGAGAAAATCGCTTCAGAAGATGAGACCGCAAAATTCACAGTGGGGAAGACCCCGCCCACTTCTGATTTCCCTCCTGCGTTAGAGCCCTTTTTTGCCATTTTCGCGCTTTCCAATGTGGACTTTCGAACTCAGCATGGCGAATAGGCCCAGGTAAGCACAAAATCTCAAAATCGAGTTTTTGCCCGGACACTGCCTTTAACGGCAATAGTTCCTATTGCTTAGAAAATGTGCGATATGATAGAGTAAGCTTCTAGCTACAACATACTATAAGGAAAGATTTTCTTAAAATTTAGGGAAATTATAGCGATTTTGATGCAGACATGCGTAGACCTCACGTTGGAGGTCGTGAACATAATTGCGGGAAATCAAAACAGAAATTTGACTATGTGTTTTAAAGCTAAGTTCGTCATCCAAATTGATCAAGATCTCATCTAGAGGACTATGGAAAGAATATTACTTTAGATCCAGTGACTTCACCTATACAGATTCAAAAATAATTTCAAAAACATAGTGGCCGTGGCACACTTAAAATTTTCAATTTTTTTTCGCCTGTCTCAGTGGAATAGATTTTCAGTGCAGCTACTATAGTAATAGTGGTGCTAAGCCTCCTTTATAATGTGGACACGGAATTGTACCGAAATGTTTCAAATACTTCAAGCTGCAGAATAATTTGTAAACACGAGAAGTTAGATTTCTGCGGCTCTCACAAAGTCATTCGGTAATTCAATTTTTTTCAAAATATATGAAAATCAATTTGGTCTTGCAAAAATGTGCATTGTAAAGGATGATTGTACCATTCTAGGCATAAATTTCAAAGCGAAACTACCAGTGTAACATAAGTTATAGCCGTGCAAATTTAGGCTACAAGACTTTTGGGACGAAACTATGAAGATTTCAAAGCAATTTTTACGCCACTCGGAGTCATATTCCCTTCTAAAATGATCAAAAAATGTAATTATCTCTTTTACTCGCTCAAACACACTCTCGCAGACTTGTGTATGAAAGGTAAAAGCAGCTGTTTGAAAATAACTTTGCTAATTTCGTTTGTTCTATTTTTGAAGTGGTATTTAGCCTGTAGCAGAGTTAATGTTCACTATAGTACTGAAAACCTAGTTCAAAGCCAGCTTGAGAAATTGATACAGAAAGGTTCGCGAAATTCCTTCACGTAAGAGAAACGTCAACTATCGAATTGTATACATACTATTGAAAACTCACGTCGTTTGCTCTCGAAACTATATGTAATCTGGATTGTTTATACCCTTCTCAGTTTGTGTTCTTTTGCAGCCTTTCAGTCCACACTAGTATTTTTGTTCTAGATTGAAACATTGGGAGAAGCACAGCAGTAGTTGCTCATTTGCCAGGATAAACACTTTATGCAAGGATGTGATTATGAAAGTAGGTTGTAGTCTTTATGAAGTGTTAAATACTGATATCTTCGTTATGAAAAACTGTTCGTCCAGGTAAGGCGTGATCCACTAGCACAGGCAAATATGTCAAAATTGGCCAGAACCTCCTATAACTCGAGCGGTCGTGGCAGCGTTAACATCAGACTTCCTTCACCGCATATTGCTCAGGTATCACAGAAATTAGTAATCATTTGACTGATTGCTGTATCTGTTTTCAAGGCCTATGTGAATTATGGTTGGGATGCTTTATCGTCCATACCACCGCAGCAGCTTTTGCATTACTACACGATCTCAGCACTTGTTCGAGAGCATAAGGAGCCATCACTTATTGCTCTCTGTCGCCGTTACGATCCGAAGTTCGTTTTGTTGTTATGCTATCGCGAGGCAGTGGCCCGACGAATTTGCTCTGGATCTGTGTAAACTCTTGGACCTCACCAATATTACCGAATCAAACTCTGCGCTTTTTTGGCCATGGCTGAAATGAAAAGCAGCCCTCTGACGAGCAAACTGACTGCTGGATTCAATTAGCTAGTTGCCAACAAAAAAGGCGGGGGGGGGGGGGGGGGGGGGGAATTGCCCGCATCTGCACTCCAGCAGCCAATCGCTGTTTGAACGATCGCCTCAAATCGCGCCCATTCCAAAGCATTCCGTCCAGTAAGCGAGTTCCTGATATCTTTGTAAGTCCTAGATCAAATGTTAGGCATGATGCACTAGGGAAACTCAGAAGGTCCAAGAATGGAAAAGCTTAATCAGTAAGTCCGCCGAGCCACGCTCTTATTGTCTGAAAATTTTGCCTTAGTTTTCAGCCTTGATTTCTAATGATTTTTTCCAGAGAAAAATTCATACTGTCCGTAAGCATCATCGCCGACATCGAGCACTGCCCTCAGACACCCCCTCCAGAAACGTTGGATACCAAATATGTGCAACAAAACGGTTTTCACCAGACGCACGAGCTGCCTCCTTCCAACGCTGATTTATATGGTCCCTTAACACTTGTGCCAACAGATGTGTGATCACTTATGCATATCTATAGATATTTTATTGAATAGTCAGTCATAGCTTACAAAGATAGAGTCATCAGAGAAAAGCTTTACTTAGTGATTGTATTTTCGTTGAACTTACCCTTGTAATATCTCACATCCAAATGCTACCGTATAACACTGCGATTACCCTTATGCAATGCTCACTTTTGATTTTTTTCACTTTGGCATCTATGTGATATTTATCAAGTAAAACAGTTTATTGCTAATGTATCGCAATCAAATTTCGTGTGCATTGTTGGGAAAAATGTGGGTATATCTGAGTTTATCATGTGAAAACTGATCGAGAGGACTTAATCAACAGAAAGCCGTTGTCATAGCGGGTGCTCATATGATTCAATTGTGGCTGAAGATTCAAATTCAAACTCTCGTCCACGCGGCACTCTTTTCGAGGGGACCAATTACAGTCAGGGTTAAGCGAGAGGTGTGGCATACCACACCTGGGGGGTCGTATTGAGGAATCAGGGAGGGGGGGGGGTCGTTATCAAGGCGTCCGCTGTTCGCATAACATGATATTCGTTAACAATGTCAAATAGGCCCGTTATGAATACTAGCACATTGATGCTTGACCCATTATCGTATACGTGCAGTAAACATAATTAAAGATCTCTAAGGCATAAGGGCATCGTTTTATAAATAGTCAAAATAACCCCTGTGGTTCAAGTTTCAGCGAATTCTGAGGTTTCCAAATACAAGACCACCCAAGTGAGATGGTCGTTTACAAACATGTTACTTTGTTTCAAAGGTAAGTTAGCTACTTCTTTTTGCGCTTAATACAGAAAACTACTATTTCTTAGCCCACATTAAAAGTCCTACTTTAAATGACCTCCAAACTAAGGAATCAAGAGCAAGCCAAAATCTCGTTTGTCCCATTTTTCGCTTTCAATTGTTCAGACTACAGAAGACCAGTCAGGCTCAAATCACTTCATTGTAGAATACGAGGCTTAGGCTATCGAATATATACATTCTTGTCGCCTTCCCTTGCGATTCACGTAGTAGCGCAGACTTAGCATGTTACCGTATCCCAATATTTTCGCATTATTTTTACCAGTAATTTACATTTGCATAGGTAAAGAAAAACGATTATATCTTGCTTTCAAAGAAACGTTTTCGTATGAAATTTCTGCTATGTAAAGAAGAAGATTAAGCAGTAATAAAGATATAAATAATGCAGCTATTTGATCTGTTTGAGGGTAAGTTAATGGGGTGTGGCACCACCCCGAAAAAGCGGTGGCAGCCACAGCTTCTTAGGGGTGGTGCCACACCCCATTGACTATATCAAAAAAAAAAACATTTTTAGCGAACATTGTTTAAATGAGTCGATAGCCTAGACCTCGCAGATTTCATAGGACTGATTTGAGCCTGATTCGTCTTCTTAGCTCTGAGTAATATTTGGGTGAAAGCACAGCCATCAAAGCGAAAAATGGGAGAAACAAGATTTTGGTTGGCTTCTAATTCCAAAGTTAGGAGGTCTTTTGAAGCGAGATTCCTGAAGTGGCCAAAGAGGGAGTATTGCTTTTTCTTGAGTGCAAAAACAGCTAGTTACTTCACCTGAAACAAAGTTAATCATGCCGGAAAATGGCGATCGCACTTAGGTGACCAAGTATCATGAAACTTCAGAATTCGCTCAAACATTGTCTACAGGGGTTATTTATTTATTTATTTATTTATTGTGCATAGGGAAGTCCCTATGAGAACAGGAACAAATAATAAAAATAACAACAATTGAAATAACGCAACAACAGCAAACATCACCGATCAAGAGAAGCTTGCAAATAGCGTTCTAGAATACATTTAAAGGTAGAAAGTTTTACTACAAATGCCCGATCTCTGATAAGGTTATCCACATCATGTTGAACACGACATGAATAGAAATTTCTTCGTACAGCGAGTCTACATCTAGGAATGATAAGCTTTCTGGAACCACCCCTGTTAGTAGAAGGCTTGGTAGCAAAGTAGGCGCTTTTGTTAAGGCCGCATTGGCCGTAGATTATCTTGTGAGCCAGTATCAAATCAAACTTTCGTCTTCTACTCGCTAGAGTAGATAGTCCAAGATTTCTGTTACGTATGTCACTGTTAGGAATCTGATCGTATAGGAAACCAACAGTTCTAATCAACAACTTACGAGTAAAGCTGTTCTGTACTTTCTCAAGGTGTTGAACAGTTTTACGCTCAAAAGGGCTATATATAACAGTTCCATACTCGAGCATAGGTCTTATGAAAGATTTGTAGGCTTTCAATAGAATAACGGGGTCCTTAGTTACAAGTGCCTAAACAGATTGTATACAGATACTGTTGATTTATCGGCAATATTCTTGCAATGCTCATCAAAAGTGAGATTCTTTGTAACTAAGAAGCCTAAGTCTCTGATTGAGTCAACCGACTCAAGTGTGACATCTCCCACTGAATACGAAAAACCTAAATTGTTTGGGCCTATATGGAGAACTTTGGTTTTTGACTTCGAAATGGGAAGACCCCACTCCTGCGACCAGGTGGAAACGTCATTCAAAGCATCTTGTAGGTTTTCACGTCCGACATCATCCATGACCACCCGATATAATTCGAAGTCATCAGCGAAAGCGCAACACGAAACCCCTCTTGACAATGGTATACTCGGAAGCTCATGTGTATATATATTGAATAAAATGGGCGAGAGTACACCTCCTTGAGGAACCCCACACCCCGTTTTCCTAGGAGTGGAAAAGACTGAGCCCATGCGGACAACAAAGGACTTGTCAGCCAGAAAAGCCGGGTTAAAAGGGTTAATTGATGCTAATTATGGATATTTGCCCACTATGTTCAACAGGGCCTTAAAGTAATGCTATCTTAGGTGCATAGTTCAGGGGTTCTTATTGAGACAATAATAAGAGGGGGGAGGGAGGAGCGTAACCAGCGATCGTGTGCCACACCTCTTGCTTGACCCTGATTACAGTGCTTGAGGCGGCAACGCTAATTAGTCCGCTGGGAAAAATCACGGTTTGGGCGACTGCTTAGAGTTGTTTCTCAGCCGGAAGTCATAAGAGCTGCCGCTGGTGCAATGGCTTAGACAGGACTTCTCAGCCAGATTTATATCAGGCGCGGTATTTATCAATCTCATTCATTGCCCTGATAGGCAAGAGCGTCCAAATCGTAAATTCTGTAAGGTTATTTAGCATGCCTGAACGGGCAGCAGAGCTCGATCTGTCGAGATCGAGCCTGCGGTGCCCGACTGGTTAAACTAGCCAGATTCGGACCCTTGAACCCACGCATTGTCCTAGGTGAGGTCCAGACAGTATAATTGTGATGGGAGTTTCTGATAATCAGTGTGGTACCTCCAGCTTTCCATTTTACACCATTTGATATGTACTGTTTTCATTAAGCCACGTATGAGACTTTTTGATAAATCTCTGCATTTGTAGCTTGTCCCACTGTTATGAGTCGTCCAACAATACAGAGTATGCAATGAATTACTGATATTCAAAACGAAGTGGCCGTTTCCAGCACTGTCTAGGAAAAATGACCTTAATCTCCTTCTATCTTACTTTAGAATCGTTGACCTGATCACTAAATGTGCATATACACGTAAAAACTGTGCCCCGCGACCGAAAGGAAAGAAAAAACAATAATAAACGATGGGTTTACATGTGCTTGCGATAAGCAAAGTTTACATCAGCAGGCGTTTTTGATATGCGCCCGCTTGCGCCGCTGGCGTGCTGCCCTCCACAGTAGGTTCCCGAACAGGTATGAGAGGATGTACAGGAGATTGATGAATACCGCCCCAGGTCTTCTCAGCCAGAACTCCACATAAAAAGCTCAGATACACAAATTCGTTCCCGCCTTCAAGCATTCTAAACATGGTGTCAGCAGTTCCTGACCAAGTCCGAAAACCTGAAATAAATCTTGAGAAGCTTTTCAAGACATGGAAACATGAACAAAGACGTCATGACACTGCTTCTATAAATACTGCAAATGGGAAAACATCGAATTTAATATCAGTTTCACTGCCATCGTGCAAACGTGTAGTGCAAGTTTTGTAAGAGAATGCGGAAGTGCACACTTTTGAATGGAACCTAATCTACTATTACAACAAAATTGTGCACAGTTCTTACCTAATGGAATCTAAAAGCATGACAAGCGTTGTAATTAGGGTCGAATACGTGCGCTTGCAAAAATTCATAATCCTGATTCGTACATATTGACTTACATAGTACGGATAGTCCTTATGCTAGCTAAGGTACACGTCCTGGTCAAAAGTGAAAACCTGTCAATGCTTTGCGAGAGCAGTTTCTCGCTTGTCCGGCATAAAATATGCCCCCAGAAATTGATCGGAAATCCTTCTAGCGCGTTGCTGTCAAAAACTTTTTTAAAACATCGTACGATGCCAAAATTTTTACTTGTTTTAATCTAGATATTTTATGTTTAAGATTCAAATACTAGAATTTCTGTGGACACTCGCCCTCACCCGACCACACCGTGTTAGCAGCTAATTTTGGCGTAGTGAAACTTAAGTCAAGAAGTATGCAATCTATGACGCTTTCGTTTGACTGTGCGGAAGAACAGTTTCGGAATCTCTACAAAACAAGGTTTCCAGCTTGTCAAAATTGAAAAAAGTCCTTGTCCAACGATGGGTACAGAAATACTTCGGACGAACTAAAAATAACCGATGGCAAACAACCTTTGAGGCAAAAATAGCTTTCGTTCGAACTTGCCATTTGAGCGATGGATCCGTTGTATCCAACCACTTTAAAGAACTTCTACCTTATATCTCTCCAAACATGGTCAGAAAAGCATTGATATGGGTGTTCATATAGGATAGAGTCAGGACTCCGCACCTGTTTTTATCAAAAGTTTGAGCCTAATTCACTGAACTGTTCTAATATGAGGTTCTGAGAGGCAAAAAAGTGGGATTTATGCAACAAGAACATTTTATCAGCTACATTAAACAACAATGCCCACAAAATATTACGTTGTAACATAAGTCTTGTTACACTCTAGGTTCTTACGACGATAAGTCTACACTTCACATTTTTAGTAGGGGTCCAGGGCAACATCGATAGAGTAAGGCAAGCTCGACAAGATGGTTTGCAAAAATTCACGCCAAATTCGACCAGCCGTAAGTATTCTGCATCCAAAATATGGGTCGTATTGAAGGCTAAAAAATAGCGAAAAATTCATATCTTAGTCCAAATAAGCTGCAGACCTCCAACTCGCTCACGAAAATTGCACACTA